AATTGTGCCTGCTAAAGTTGGGCTATCCATAACCGATAGGCAGTGGAAAGTAAGTACATTTACGATGTTTTATATGATAAATATAATACTGTGAAAAGATCAATTCTGCATAACGAGTACATTTTAATGTTACATATTATACCGTTAAGTGTAATTGGCTGTACACATTATTCTCACAGCACAGTGTGTACATTCAGTTACAGCCACTGCAGAAACACACTGCTCCCGTTCATGAATGACAATCAAACAGCGGATAATTACATTCATGTTCAACAGTCACCAAACACTGCAGATAACTTTGTAATGATGTGTACATGACCTTTAAATCCTAATGTGAATCTGTATTAAAGCACACCACTTTAGAGTTTACTGAAGCACAGGGACTAATCTACTCCCAGGCATTATTTAGTCAAGTTACAACTAGTATGCAATAAGAAAAACTGCCCCTCCTCCTCAGCCACTTCCTTCGGCTCTCCATCTTTATATATACAGTCTATGCTCTCCATCAGGGCGAGCGCCACCTGCTGGTCGCCGTGGGGGTTACTGCGGGGTGAGAGGAAAAGTAGTCCTTCACTGTTTGGTGAAACAGCGGGAGAGGCAGAAATGATTCCGATTCATTGGACTAGTCTCACACACACACACAGACACTCTCCCGCTGTTTCACCAAACAGTGAAGGACTACTTTTCCTCTCACCCCNACACATTAAAGACTCAAATAAGTAGCAGTATAAAAAAAAGTACCTATACAAGTATTTAACCCTCCTATTGTGTTCGTCCCCCCCTTACTTTGGTGTTCGCAGTCAAATGTAACCGGTCCTGTTTTAACTGCTCTTACATTAACACAAAAATCATTGATCATCACCACATTTCATTTAACACCCTTTCAAACTGTACATATTGTATCAGACTACTGGTATACATGAAAAACTGCAGTAAATATACAAAGAACAGACACTGAACATGTATTGCGTGTGCCAGGTGTGATCCATGTGGGGGGGATGGGCACATAAGTGTGTGTGTGTGTGTGTGTGTGTGTGTGTGTGTGTGTGTGTGTGTGTGTGTGTGTGTGTGTGTGTGTGTGTGTGTGTGTGTGTGTGTGTGTGTGTGTGTGAGAGTGAGTGAGTGAGTGAGTGAGTGAGTGAGTGAGTGAGTGAGTGAGTGAGTGAGTGAGTGAGTGAGTGGTCCAGGTCCAGGTGTGATTCACATGGGGGGATTGGGCACATAAGGGGGGACACACATCTAGAGTGTGTTTGTATATGTGTTTTATCTGATCCGGATGGTTACTAATTCCTTTTCTTTATGGCGGTCATTTTTGACCGGGAACACCGTGGGTGTTACAAAGTTGACTAAATCATCCAAGTTGCAGTGAAAGTGGTGATCAGCAATTTTATATGTTCAACAACAAAAAATGTAAAACAAAAAAGTTATGATTGATGAAAGCAGTAAATCGGTCAGATTTGACCCGAAGACAACAGGAGGGTTAAAGTTCTACTTCACTGCATTTCAGAGGCAAATACTGAAAATACTTCTACATAATGACTCTGCATCAACTCAGTGCAGTACCTCCTCCCCGCCACACGGGGGCGCCACACAGATATCAGTGACAGTAGAATGGACTAGAACCACTAGAACAGGAAGGTGATGTGTTGTTCATTTGGCAAGATGTCGGGCCACGATCAGCTGGTCCTCTGTCTGTGCGAATTAACTAGGTAAGAACATATCAGGATTCAAATGAACAATTCAAATGTGTATGTATAAGATGTTCATTGTCAATTTCGAAAGTCTAGTTAAGAGCTGTTGTGGTAGATTTTAATACAATCCATGCTACTGCTACAATGTTGACGACATTAGGCTTATTATTTGGTTGTAGTCTTCAGATAAATACATTATATGCTATAGTTTTGTCCTGTTTCTACGACTAATGTTGTTGTTCTTGTTGTACAGTAGTGTAACGGTGTTTATATAGTACTAAACTAATGTTATATGTTGCAGAAGGTAATATCCCTTTACATTTGAACTTATTATGACTTTATTTGTTGCGCTATGAATACTAATAACGTGAATGAAGTAGTACTTTTTTGAAAAGAAATTCACAAGTCACAATATTAGTTATTTTATATTCTCCCACTGTTTGGTAACAGTTCAGATTGTGCCTGTAATATTGGCCTTTTAATATTTTATGGTCACTTTTATTTTATGAGCTGTTCTAATTAAATAGGTTTACACGCCACCCTTCTCCTAGAATCGCTTTGAAACTTTCACTTTGAAACGTTCCATATAAATAAGGTGTATTGTCCCTGTGTGTGTCAGGCTGCTGTGGAAGCTGCTGCTGCCGCTGGTGGTTCTGGTGCTGCTGCTGGTCGCGGTAGCGGTCCTGCTGGTGCTGGCCGTGCGCTTCTGGCTCCAGAGCAACAGGAGCGCTCGGCGGGCGAGGGATGGACGTCCCACCGTGGCCTTCTTCCACCCATACTGCAACGCTGGTGGTGGGGGGGAGAGGGTGCTCTGGTGTGCCATCCGGGCTCTGCAGAGCAGGTGAAGCTGATACATCATTTCTAGTTTTAGTTTTTAGTGTATCTCTGTTTCTTTTTTCGCAAATGTAATTATTTTTATTGTTTTATGTCTTTATAAATATTATGTTTCATTGTTGCATTGTCATTGCCATGTCTTTTTTGTATATATTGATTGTTGTGTTTTTATTTAGGTCTTAATGTGTGCATATGTATAAATGTGTCTTTTGATTGAGTGTGTGTGTGTGTATATATATAGATATTTTTGCATAGATATTTTTATGTATATTTGTTTTTGTATTTCGATCTCTCTGTCTGTACACACAAACTGAAAGATTGACAATACATTTGACTTTGATAACTTCACTGTAGCTACTGTGCATATGACAATAAAGACTTTGAATCACAGGTATGTGGACATCAACTTCGTGGTGTACACGGGGGACCTGGGTGTCACGGGTCAGCAGATCCTGGACGGGGCGAGGCGGAGATTCAACATCGTGCTCCCCCGCCCGGTGCAGTTTGTGTTCCTGAGGCACCGGCTGCTGGTGGAGCCCAGCCTGTTCCCTCACTTCACGCTGCTGGGGCAGAGCGTGGGCTCCATCTTCCTGGGATGGGAGGCTCTGATGGAGTTCGTCCCAGACCTTTACATCGACTCCATGGGCTTCGCCTTCACTCTGCCTCTGTTCCGCTACCTGGGGGGCTGCAGCGTGGGGAGCTACGTCCACTACCCCACCATCAGCACTGACATGCTGTCTGTAGTGAGAGAGAGGAACCCCAGGTGATCACGTTTCTCTCTGTGTGTTTTTAACTCTAGATGAAGAAGTTAAATATTCTGAAAGCCATTCATTGAAGGGGCTTTCTCAATTTCCAATTCATTAGTTTGAGGCGTTTAGTTATGAGACATGCGGAACCTGCTTACTAACCCCTCTTGTAATATTACCCCAGGTTCAACAACGCTGACTACGTCTCAAACAGCCTTTTCCTGAGTGCCTTCAAGGTGGTGTACTACTGCCTGCTGGCCCTGCTCTACGGCATGGCGGGCTCCTGCAGCGACCTGGTGATGGTCAACTCCTCCTGGACCCTGGACCACATCCTGTCCCTGTGGCGCGCCCCCAACCGCACAAGCGTGGTTTACCCGCCCTGCGACGTTAGCGCCTTCCTGGACATCCCGCTGGAGGAGGACGGGGACAAGAAGTGCCACTCCATCGTCTCCATCGGGCAGTTCAGGCCCGAGAAGGACCACCGGCTGCAGATCAGAGCCTTCAAGAAGGTGCTGGACCGGGGGAGGGCGGGGCCGCTGAAGCTGGTGCTGATCGGTGGGTGCAGGAACCAGGAGGACGAGGACCGGGTGCTCATGTTGAGGGGCCTCTGCCAGGAGCTGGGAGTGGCCGACCGGGTGGAGTTCAAACTGAACGTCCCCTTCGAGGAGCTGAAGAGAGAGCTGGGAGACGCCACCATCGGACTGCACACCATGTGGAACGAACACTTTGGAATAGGTCATTCATCTGTGTTAATTGCAATAACCCTAAATGCAATATGAACTTGTGCAATTCATAATCTCTGCTCTTCCTTTCCCCCCCCAGGCATTGTGGAGTGTATGGCAGCAGGGAATATCATTCTGGCGCACAAGTCCGGCGGTCCCAAGATGGACATTGTGGTTCCTTTCGAGGGGGCCCAGACGGGCTTCCTGGCGGACGACGAGGACAGTTACGCGGAGGCCGTGGAGAGGATCCTGGCTCTGTCCCCCGCCGCTCGGCTGCTCATCAGAAGCAACGCTCGGCAGTCCGTGGCTCGCTTCTCAGATCAGGAGTTCGAAGCCTGCTTCCTCGCTGCCATGGAGCCTCTGATGGGAACGCTTGAACGATGAGGGACTTGTGTGCATGTACAGTTGATGTCATACAGACACTTTGAGCACCTTTACTTTGATGCACTTACGGCCGCATTCACACTGTTGGACTGATCTCTCACACAGAGGGCTGCTGAAGTTATTTTCTTTTGACTCAAATGAATAAAGACAGATTCAAATCATTCCTTTTTAAATGTCTAAATGCAGTTCAGAGGCCAGCCCTATACCAGTCAAATAAAAGCCGTCGTCAGGCAGAATCCAGATATAGAAACATGTGGTGTTCTCTTGTAGCGAGTTGTTTTTGTAAATAATTGACCCTCAAAATCCCTCATTGCATTTTATGGAACCGTTCCTTTTGTTAGTAGTTTCAGTTTAATTAAAAGAAGATGGGTGAATGGGAACAAATGAGTGTATTAGACGGCTGATAAATGTTACTGGACTATATTAACATATTTATTGTTTACAAGAACTAGAATTCTCTTCATGCTCTAAATGTGATTATTTTTGATATTGACCATGAATGTAATAAAGATATTAGGGGAATGATTTTCGACTGATTGAATAATTGTTTCAGTCTTGTCTGAGAAAGATACCGAACTGAGAAAATATGTTTATTCAGAAAATTGATGCAGAAAAAATACATTTAAAGTATTCTATAAAAAATTAAAAGGGAAATAATAACCACATGCAGAAGTACAACAGCCATCAGTCCCTGAGATAACATCAACCCTTCTATCTGTACGCCTTGATTGTTTTGACAAAATATTTGTTTCCCGAGGTGAAGAATATTTAAAAAATGTAAAATAAATGCCTGAAAAGAAAAGAGAAACATGAGTTTTTTTAGATGTCTTAAACCAGAATCATCCTTATGCCATCTTTCCTCTCTTCATTTCTAATGAGCGCCTCCTGGATCCTCACATCCTACGGAGAACACACATCTGACCCTGGCTGACAGTCACAGCCTCAGTGGGATTTTGGCCTCCTTTTTTGACAAAATTGGCATTTCCTTTGTGCTGTTCTCTCTGTGCTGTTTAAACAAATCAATATCCCTCTGAGCTCTGCTCTGGTAGAAATCCTTTCCCCATCTCAGTGTAGAATCACACTGATTGGAATTTGCCCTGTGTGTTTGGAGGATTTTATTGCAAAAAAATATAAATATATATTTTCCATATTGACCTCTTTTTGCCAAGAAATCCAGATGAAATCCAACAATGTTAAAGTTGTTTAAATGCAATAATATATTGGATACAATACATTATATAATCGTGTGTGTGTGTGTGTGCAGGGCTGGTTCTGACCAATGTGCTGCCCTATAGGCAAGATTTTAGCTGGCAATGAAAAACCTCTACAAAAGACCAATACACTACAAAAAGAGAAACATATTGACATGGTGGACAGC